CGTAAAGATATGATTTGAATGAGAAATTGAAGTATTAGAATATTGTATATCATTCAAATCATCTGTAGGCTTCTCTTTGATAATCAAAACAACTGTAAAATGGAATATTGTGAACAGTGCGAATATATCCTCTTAGCTTCTTTTATGCAAATTATTCGCCCATCCAACAAACTTCCCCATTCAACACTATAAATAATAAATAACTTTACTTAATTAATTATTTATTCACATGCATCCATATTTAGCAGGAGTGGCTTCCATATATGCTACCGGTACACACAATTAAGGCTACACAAATACCAGACTGGATCGGGTTGGATGTCAACCCGAAATCTAGTCTGAATGGAGACCGGGTTAGAATTTTCAGTCCAAAGACTGGTCTAGTCTTGTTGAACCTAGAACCTAGACCGGGTTGGACTTGGTCCACCGGATTACTGGACCAGTCCAGTTTCTTAAATCCAACTCTCTCCAAAAAAAAGGCCCTCATATCCCATTTCCTATTCACTTGTATCAATATCATAAGCTTACTACCGTTTGAGTTTCAAAGCAAGCACTATTTAATTGCACATGATCCTTGTTATGAGATTAATTATGTTTCTTTCAGTTTTTTAGAGTATAAATAATCATCTTTCTCGCGTATTATATGAAGTACAAAAAAGGTGTCATACTATTCAATACCTATAAATATTACTACTGTTTTTTTTATTCTTGCAAGTGTCAAAGAGCTATTTAGAGATTTGTGTTAATTATAAATGTAAGATTTCCATTTTTTTGTCTTTTGTATTTTATTTTTGTTTAAATTACCCTATAATCATATTTTCATGCGATATGGAGAAATGGAGAAATGACAAATGAGGCTATCAGACTTTAGAGTTCAGAGACCGAGTTTGAAGCATGCACGTGAGGTGTGAGGGTACTGTTATTGGGCTCAACTAAATAAGATCTTTTTTTTTGTAAATAATAATTATTTAATATTTAATATTAAAAAATAACCTGGATCGGGCCGGACTGATTGGTCTGAAAGAGCAGTCTCTAGTCTGGTCTGACCCGTATGTGCAGTCTGACCCGTTCAGTCCAGTTTTTTGTTCGGGTTGAATTTTTCAAGATCGGGTTAGATCGAGTCACACCAGATCGGATGAAACAGATCGGATTTAAAGTTTTTCTACACAGCCCTACACACAACACATATATTACATTATCTTATTATTAAGTGTAATTCGATGTGTGAAATATATGTGAACAAAGAATTGTTTCTTTTCGAAAAGTGAGACGAGATAAAGCTGAGCCACTAATGTGATAAGGGCGAACATATAGTTAGGTATATCCCTCTGTTCGATATATTTTCTCGTCATTCAATAAAAAAATATTTTGTTGTTTTATTTGTTAAAAAATATTTTAACTTTGTAATTACATTCTCATTAATTAAAGAAATATTATTTGTGCAAATATTTCTCAAGTTAAAGTTAAAGCTTGGATTAACTAGTTAAGAAGTTGATCCAACCACTAAATCAAATGTCTTGAATCTGAGCCTTGAATATGTAGCAATAATTAAATTCTTTTTAAGGGGTATGCTTCTTAAAGAGATGCTCACAAACTGGCAATAAATTAGTTTTAATCAAAGATTTGAAATATCAAAAGGCAAGCACATGCTAAAATTAAAATATTAATTAACTCTCTTCAATCTTATTTATAAATTACTTTTAACATGTTTTATGATAATAATAAAAAATTTAAATCTCATTAAGTTTATTTAAAATTTATAAGCTTTCATCTATATCCTAATAAGGATAAATAAAAAATAGTAAAATGCCTTATAAATAAGATTAAAATTAATCTTCTCTCCTTATCTTATAAATTTGATTAGAGGAGTATCTTTTTATTTGATACCTTATAATTAAGATATTTTTTATTTTTATAAAGTATCTTATAAATAGATCAAGAATAATATATAGCATACCTTATGATATAGGGGGTGGAGTAACCCTTGCTAATATAGTTGGTCTATTTTTGTGGTCAAGGACACTCTTTCAAAAGGGTTGGATACCCTGTAAAAATGCAGTCAAGGCCGCAGAATTATAATGATTTTTTTTTATTATAATGCTATGGCATAATCATGCAAAAGTGATAAAAATTAAGTCATATCTAGAATCATAAAGCTTTTACATTCATAAGATGGATTATCAAAAATTTTAATGTCAAAATTATCTCAACAAAGTTGACATGCAAGGAGGTCAGTATTTATTAACTTCTTTATAAATATAAGTCAAAGGCGATCATTTAATCTTTTATTGTGAAGTCTCTAATTTTGCTAATAATGTCAGACAGCAGGCTTCTTTCAAGTAGTTTGTGTGTGTGTGTGTGTGTGATGCCTAATTAATAATATAAAAAATGCAATCTAAATTAATTTAAGCCATGCATATTTGTGATTAATTTGAAAACATTAACAATCTATGCGTACAAAGTTCTTTTGTAAAAGTCTTTTGAATTACTTTAATTAAGTAACTGATTGCATATAAAGCAAGGTAGTTAATCACCTCCTGATTAATTAATGCTTGGATTCAGCAGAACAACTATTAATAATTTTAATTATTAATTTTTTATGACATGAACAACGTTGAATCGAATGTTATAATAACTTTGACGGTTTAATTTTTTTTTTAATGTTAGACTACTTTACAATTGTAATATTAATTGCAACACTTTATATATTAATTACCCCACTCAAAACGGTCACAATAATGTAAACTGTATTAAAAAATTGTGCAGTCACTTACGTACGTTGAGGACATGTGGGTATACATCATTAAATATTTGATCCTTTCACGCACGCACGCACATTTGATTGGCAGGAATTAGGTCCCTACATAGTAACTATTTTCCTTGTCGTGGTACTCAAATATACTCTATTTGGGTTTTATACATAAATTATATAATGGGCGGATATTTCTTTTTATGCATTACTCACTTTGATCTTAGTTATAAGATATGTTTTTTAAAAAAAATTAATATTCTTTAACATAATATATTTGACATACAAATTTAAATTTTTTTAAATATGAGTAAAATTGAAAATCTATTATATTTTCAAACAAAGTTAATAATTTAACCTTCTCTCTTTGATTCTAATAAGTTAATTAGAAGTGTCTTATAATAAAAGAATACAATAATTATTTTGTATAAAATGATATCTTATTAATTACTTTTTTATAAATATATTATTAATTATTTTATTTTATTTTATTTTTACACTTCCGAAAATTTTTATGAGTATAGTCAAATATTCTTTATGAAAGAGAAACTGTTTTTAAAGAGGATTTATTTAGTAAGAGTGAATTGATATTTTTCTTTCTTTATCAGATAATATCAATAATTTAAATATTTTTTTAGTTGTGAAGAAATAGTTAAAAGTAATTTATATATAAGATTGAAAGGAGTAACCGAGTAAGCAAATTTCAATTTTTTAAACTCAATTTAAGAAAATTAATCAATCTAGTTTGATAATTATGTCTCAAAATTTTAGACTAAAATGTCTTTGTTATTAATTCTTAACTTTGTTTCTAATTTAATGATGCTCATTTTATAAAAAGTGTATAATTTTAAAGATAATTAAATAATTCACTAAATGATATAATTCAATTAAAAATGCTGTATAATATATCAAAAGGAGGGAGTATAAAAAAACAAGAAATTGTATTAAGGATTTGTTTAAAATAAAACAGAAAGGAAGTGATCAAGCAAGTGTGACATAGATAGTAGTGATATGGGCTTTTAAAGTATCGTCTGAGAATTTTATTCTTAAAAATATATTTAAAGAAAATCTCTTAAAAGAAAACAACTCTGGGCAAAACTACTTATGTGATGAGGGGGACCCCCCCCCTCCTCACCCAAACTCACCACCTCTTCCCATATATTTATATGGGTTTTCAAAAATTTAGCCCTTAAAAAAGTTTTAAAAGGATAAAAGAAGTCTGATATACCTGGATGCAATATATACAAATACTTATATAATATTCCTTCCTATTCTACTTATATAAGATAGAGAGAGAATAATTTTTTTATCCTATTTCTAAATTATGTCATTAAAATTTTGATAATAATTTTTTTTCTTTTATCCTTCATTAGCAGTTTATACACATACATACTCCTTTTATTTAAAAAAATAAGACACTTTTTAGATTAGATGTTAAAAAATAAAATATTTTTAATTTTTAATGTATGATTAATAAGTTTTTTTCTAAAAATACCTTTAATAAATAAATCAGTTAACTATTTACCTTTAAAAGAGACACCGTATTATATAAAAATAAATAAAAAAATAATATTAATTTAAAAATTATTAATTAACTTCTTTAGACATATGATTCAGTTAAATATATATTATATTTTTTTAATGAAAGTAATTTTTTTTAACAAAATTGCCCCCCTCAACATAAACCCTGGTTCCGCCCCTGGCTTTGATAATATTCAATTTTTTTTAAAAAAAGTCTTTTACTTACTGACTGACTTAAGGGGCGAAAAGCACAGAAGTTATCAATTTATCATCATTACTTCTCTCTTTTTCAAGCTTCAAAAATCATACTTTGTTCTTGTGCAGCAAAAGATCTAACCAATACCCTTCTTCGACGTGGATATATACTTTATTTGTCTGTAAGACGTCAATCCATTCGGAAGAAAAAAAGGGGCAAAACCAAAATCCTTTCGTTCTGGATAGAAATTCTAAAAATAAAATAGCCATACCTGTAATTTAACCAAGCTTTAAATTTTAATAGTTAGCAAAATCTGCATTCGAACTTTGTAAATGAAAAATATAAAAAAAAAATCTCAAAATATTTAAATGACTTGCTGTTAGCTAAGATATCAGCCAGATGTATTAAAAACAAAAAAGTCAGTGTAATTCATTGTTTTAATGGTCATGTTCTCTCTCTCACGCACAGCTGGCTAAGACTATAAATATTGATATTAGATGGATCAATTCTTTCAGTGCTTCTCGTCCCTTGGCTTCAATTTATGAAGTCCATCTTCACCTCATTCTTATACCTCATCTGACTGTTCCTTTTCTTCCTTGATCTTCTTCTTCTCTCCCACATAGCCTCTTCATCGTCTTCTTCTTCAATCTTCATCACCATATTATTACTCTCTGCAAGAGATGATGCCTCCTGAGCAAGAAACCACGACCGTACATGTGACGCCGTCCAGCATTCCGTCCATCCCCAACCGGCCACTGCCGGAGAAAAGCTCCGTTCACGCTGATCCAGGAGGTTCCGCCACTAACGACGACAAACCCAGTTCGGATAAATATGGCATTCCCCTTCATCAGCACCACCCGTCGTCAGCAACACGTTCCATAGTTCTTCACCAATCATTGCGACCCGTTACCCTCAAAGTATGTATCTTCAAATCTTCACTCTCTGATCAACAATGATTTCCATGTTTGATATTTTCATATTTGCGTAGTCACTTTTTAACTTCTTAGTTCTGAAGACGTAAGTATATATATATATATATATTATACGTAACAATATGATTTCATATAACTAGCTATTTGTGTTGTACGTTAGTGAATTTCTAAAGTTGCACTGATGATCAGAATTTCTGCTTTTTGTAGTTTGAAGACGTTTCTTACAGTATGACCTTTGGAAGCAAAAAGAATGGAGGTTGTTTTTCTTCGGATAACTCGAAACCGACCCGGACAATTCTCAACGGCGTGACTGGGACGGTCCGGCCTGGAGAATTGATGGCAATGCTGGGCCCGTCAGGCAGCGGCAAGACCACGCTACTCACAGCACTAGCTGGCCGGCTCGCCGGAAAAGTTTCCGGCAACATAACCTACAATGGCCTTCCTTTCTCTAGCTCCATGAAGCGCAGGACTGGTTTTGTCTCACAAGACGATGTGTTATACCCTCACCTCACTGTTCTTGAGTCGCTGGTTTATACGGCTTTGTTGAGACTTCCCAAAAGCCTCACCAAAGAAGAGAAAATAGAACAAGCTGAGATGGTTATCACGGAGCTTGGGTTAACCAGGTGCCGAAACACCGCCGTGGGTGGTGTTTCCGCCTTGTTTAGGGGAATCTCGGGTGGGGAGAGAAAACGGGTTAGTATTGGGCAGGAGATGCTTGTGAACCCGAGTCTGTTGTTGCTGGACGAACCCACCTCCGGGCTGGACTCGACGGCCGCTCAACGCATAGTGGCAGTGCTCCGGGGGATGGCACGGCGTGGCCGGACGGTGGTGACCACTATTCATCAGCCGTCAAGCAGGTTGTACACGATGTTTGACAAGGTCGTCGTACTATCCGACGGTTGCCCCATTTACGCAGGAGTATCGGGCCGGGTCATGGAGTATCTCGAGTCCATCGGGTTTCTGCCCACTATCAACTTCATGAACCCGGCTGATTTTCTGCTTGACCTTGCTAATGGTAAGTAATAAATTCACCAAAACTTGTGACACTTGCATGTATATTCCACAATTAGCAATTGATTATGTATAATCTATAAATATTTCTATTTACGAATTTATTATTATTACTAATTATTGTCTTGGGATCACATCAAGCAAGAAGATTTTTCATTTTCAGTAAACTTTTTTAAAAAAGTTTAAATATCTCCACCCGTCTGTGTATGTCTAACTCAATTTATGATATTTATAATACAGTTAAATCTTTTTTTGGGTGAGGATGATTTGAATGGTTTAGTTTGAAAAAGAAGAGCAAGGAGGATTTGTGTATGTGTTTGTGTTGTGCATGTCAACTTCAGAATTGAGGCACTATAGGTCACAGGACACAACCATGCATGATAATAACAATTGAGACTTTGTACACTTGGTTATTATTAGTAGAGGGATCGTTTTCAAACGTATAATAGTAATAATGGAGGTGGTGCAAAAAAGGTTTGAGGTTTCTTTCTCTGTTCCCATGATCTTGTTTTCAAGGTGGCAACACTTCATGGGTCACTTGAAGCAGTAATTTGATAACACACTACACTACCGAACGTCAGCTTCACAACACGTTTCATTGTGATTAATGTTTGGTGTCCCTAAACGGTCTTGTTCTCATATGACCCGATAAAGTTTCTTTCATGGAATAGACATTTCTTAGTACTTCTCACAGTACTAACATTCACTGTTCAACTGTGTAATCATTGATAATAAGTTTCAGTGCAAAGTATAGTTTTAAAAAACTCGTGTCTGATAAAATTATTGATGAGTCTGAAATTATGGGTTTGAGCTTTATAGTTGAAAGATTAAACTTGCATTAAAATCTGCAGAGGGACATGTTTGTTTTGTGATTAGAACAGAGGATTTGGCAAATTCTGTAATTCTACCTTTCTCACTCACTAGGATTCCCTGGGTTTGAATTGTAGGCATTGTGGCTGATGTTAAGCTGGATGATCAGACTGACATGCAGGGCAGATTAGATCACATTGAAGATCAGTCTTCAATAAAACAGTCTCTGGTTTTATCCTATAAAAAGATTTTATATCCTGCTCTGAAAGAAGAGATTCAGCAAAATATTAGAGACACAGCTAGTTCAACACCAGGAACACCCGGACGAAGTAAGTGAAAAATTCTCGTTCAATGGGGCTCGTATTGTTTATGACTTATGGATAATGCGGCTTCCTATATATTATATATTATAGGAGCATATAAAATGGTCATTAATCATCATGCCTGATCACTAGGCTTAGAGAACCAGTGGAACACCAGCTGGTGGGAGCAATTCAAAGTTCTGCTTAAGAGGGGTTTACAAGAGAGGAGACATGAATCCTATTCAGGCTTAAGGATTTTCCAAGTCTTGTCTGTCTCAATTCTCTCAGGACTTCTCTGGTGGCATTCTGATCCTTCACACATACAAGATCAGGTAATATGAAAACTCTCAGCTCCTTGCACAGACCCTTCAAAATCAAGCATTCAAAAGTAGTGAAGAAGAACTTTGTCTCAACAATTTGCAATTCTGACAGGTAGGCCTGCTTTTCTTCTTCTCCATCTTCTGGGGATTCTTCCCTCTATTCAACGCCATCTTTGCGTTCCCTTTGGAGAGACCAATGCTGATAAAAGAAAGATCCTCGGGAATGTACCATCTTTCATCCTACTATATAGCCAGAATGGTAGGTGACCTACCCATGGAGCTTGTCCTTCCCACAATCTTTGTCACCATCAGCTACTGGATGGGTGGACTCAAGCATTCACTAATCACCTTTGTGTTAACACTCTTAATCACCATCTTAAATGTGCTAGTCTCTCAAGGAATAGGCCTAGCACTTGGAGCCATATTAATGGAAGTGAAGCAGGCCACAACCTTAGCTTCAGTGACCATGCTGGTGTTTCTGCTAGCTGGTGGCTACTACATTCAGCAGATGCCATCTTTCATAGCATGGTTGAAGTATATATCTTTCAGTCACTACTGCTATAAACTTCTGGTGGGAGTTCAGTACTCAGAAAATGAGGTTTACGATTGTGGATTAGGGTTGCATTGTAGGGTAGAGGATTTTCCTGCTATAAAGTGTCTTGGAGGTCTTGCTCATTTGTGGGGTGATGTGGCTGCATTGTGTGTGATGTTGATTGGATACAGAGTTGTGGCTTATGTGGCTTTGAGGATGAGGCAGCCTCACTGACTTACTACTACTGGCTCACTCATAGATTAGAGACTGCAATATTTTTATTCCTCTGTTTTGTTGAAATTACCAGCTCCGTCCAAGTGTTAGAATTATTTAAATTATATGCGATAATAATACTTGAAGTCCTCATGGTTTATTGATATGAAATGAAACATTAAATAATTTGCACATAAAGCCACTTTTCTCCTCTTTCTTTCTTATTTTGGGCCAAACTCAGTTTTTCCTTCTGTGGGCATATATAAGTAAATAAAGATATTGGCATGACCATTTCACACCAATGAGTGCATAATTCAGCTAGTACGAGTGGTGCTAGCTTAACCAATGGTCTTAAATTTGAGCTTTGAGTATGAAACTGTGTTAAATTCTTGTTAGGAGAGCTTTTCCACCTTGTGTTCCTTCCCAACTCAACCGAATTTGTCAGTAGTCTAATGTGACTTTTAGATACCAGATGGTTTGAAACAAAAAAGAAGTTTCAACACTTTAGCGCTATTGATTTTATTATCATATATCTTGGAACTCTTCCAATAAAAATAGCAGACAAATGTATTTTCATCAAACAAATGCGTGTATTGGGAGACATTTCCGGTCTTACCGAAAGCTGAAGATATATGAATCCCATGTTGCACTACAGCTTAGCTTATTTTCACTTACCTTGGTGCATTTTCCTTGTGTGAAAAGGGAATATCTTTCAAATCCATGAGAGTTTTCGGTGAATTTCATGAAAACAGAATATGCTTCCGAGAAATATCTTCCAAAATATGCCTTAGAGATGAAGAATCAAATGCTAAGTAATAAGTAAGGCATCTCTGCATGGACCTCCAGTTAAATTTATTCAATTCCCTCATGACAGTTACCAGCAACTTGAGGTAATAATTGCATTCCGATTACTACACCTTATTTTCAAATTCTTCTATAAATAGGTGTGCCTAGTAGAGTTATATTACCAAGGGCCAAAAAACCAGGTGAAGAACTCTTTTACTTTGAAGAATATATTGTTACTGAACATGGCTTCACTCAAAGCTGAGAAACCTTGTTGCTCTCAACCACCAGGACAGGTCAAGAAGGAGCCTGCTAAGCCTAGTGAGACCATCCCGAAGGATCCAGCCTCCAAGTCCAATGCAGCCCCTAAGAAATCTGAGCGCAAGTCTCAGCCTACGAAGACGGTATGAAATTATGCATATAACTAGTGAGTCCCATGTGTTGTACAGAATTTGAAGAAAAAGCCACACACTCCATGTCTGTGTTTCTTATATTATTAAACATGCCTATGACTTATTAACTTCTTTAGTTGTGTCAATGATCAAGTAATACTATCTTTCGATGATTTTTCAGGCAAGCAAGAGCAGCAAGTAATTGGAGAAGATATATCTGAGAGGAATGAAGATGAAAACAAGAGTGTTATTGGTATTATGTGGAGAATGAGTAGTATTGTACTATATGCTTGTTGGTAATCCCATCATGTAACTACTGACAAGCTTGGCCTGATAAATAAAAGAAACTTACTATAATTACACTTATGGCCGAGATGCAACAATGTTTCTTTTGTTTTGTTTGGTTTTGGGTTGAAGGTATCCTTGTTTGTTTGATGAACTGAACCAAAAATATAGTGACAGAAGTAAAAATTTGAGGACAGAGAATATTAGCAAAATTATAATATGGGACTTTTAGGGACATTGAAATTAAACACAAGGCATAAACCTTGTACATAAAAACTTGTGTTTTTCTCATTTCAAGATTTCAGTAAAAAGGTGTTACCCTAACTTGACATGCAATGGAAGAGTGGACCTCTCAAATGAATGGACAGAATTATATATAGGGACATGAACGGACACATAGTATTAAAATTCCTGTCAGTCCTATTTTTATTTTATTTTTTGTTGGGAATGAAACTGGAGCATTCAACCAAAAAGGAATTTACACATGAACATAGCTTGCTCCTATCCTCCTTTTTATCATCCATCCCCGTCCAACAATAGTCTTATAAATTTTAAGGATGACAAAACCTTCATATCAATATGAATTTCACTCGATGAGAGATTTTAGATATTGGTTATAAAAAATCAAAGAAAAAATTGCAGTATTGGCAGTCACCAAAACTATTATATTATTATTCAACGGAAAAGGAAAATGATCCAAGTTATTTATTTTTTCAGATTATTTGTTATAATAGAGCTCTTTGAGGTATGTTAATGAGATCAAGTTCAAAAGCGTTGTGCAATTCATGTAACTTAATAGGATAAGATTTGTTATTGCTATTGTAATAAATCTTTAAGGGGTATGATTTAATAATTTAAATTTGGAGTGTTAAGATTATTGTTAATAAACATCAAACCTTCTATGATTTCAGCAGCAAGAATTCAGTTTTTTTCATCCCCATTTTTTATAATTACCTAATATCAACTCCATGCATTTGTATGAAGGAGGTGCTATTGAGAAGGGTGAATCAAACAATTTTGAATCTTGTAAAGAAGAGTAGAGGAAGACTAAAGAGAACATTCAATGAAGTTCTTGAAAGAGATCTTTTAGCTAACAATATATCTAAAGATTTGCTTATTGAAAAAAAATACAATAATGTCGTTCAATTTGTGTAATTAACTCCACTTAATAGGATAAGGCTATTTGTTTATTGTTTGTCACTTTGTTGTATTCATTTGCATGAAAATTGCATAGAAATTATATAAAAATGGTGCAAACATTATATAGAGATTTCACATAAATTGCATAAAAATTACATAAACTTATTATTGCTCATGTTTCAAGTTTAAAAGAGTTTCATGTGATGATGTAAACTTTTCATACTGTTCATTGGGAACAACAAATTACTAAGTGCGCTGGAGACGTTGAGTCTCAATTGATGATAAAGGATTTTCAGGCTCTCTTACCACAGTTTATCTGAATGTAAAAGATACGTAAGACTTGGCAGAATAAGTGTTTAATTAATACAAAAGGATTACAAAGCATAAATGATTACAAGTCTGAAACGAAAATAAAAGCTATAAGTAAAAACTATCTGATAAATCTAAGAGCAAAATGTAAGTCCTTGGAGTGATGTTTGTGTCCTCTTTCTGTAATTTGGTGCTCTATTTATAATAACAAAGTGATGGTGGTTACTCTTGTGGAATGTGGAATGTTCTTGCAAATAATCAGGGATTCCTTACGCACGGTCTGCAAAATTCATGGCACAATCATTCATCAATGTGTTCCATTTTTGAACAACCAGCCAATGCCTCCGAGATACCATTTCTGATTATGAATAATCAGGGATTCCTTATACACGGTTTGTAAAATTCATGGCACAGTCATTCATCAATGCGTTCCATTTTTGAACAACTAGCCCGTGTCTCTGAGATACTTGGGAATAACGATCATGTTCCTGTGAGATTCGGGATCGTTTGAGATTATGACTTTATGTACCAACAGTCTAAGGAGTGGGTTTGCAACTGATGGGATTTCGACGTACTTATCTGGCTGAGACTTTCTCTTGAGATTTGGGCTAACCTTTTTGTTTAGATTGTTGATTAGGTCTGACTCTTCAGTTATTTAGTCCATATGACTTTATGGCCTGCTCAGATACCTTGGCTGGCGATGTTTCATATTTAGCCCGAATACATACATTCTTTTGTAGTTTTGTCAAATATCATGATTTCCGGATACATATCATATTGCCTAGAATCATTAGCAAAAGAAATTCCTAACCTTCAAGATAACATCAACACGGATTAATCAATGAACAATATGCTGATGTCATATCTCAAGTGTCTGACAGAAATGGTATCTTTCATCAGTTTCTGATGTGAGTTCCTGTCATGTAACTGAGAAAATCAATGGCTAATGATTCTAATTCCATGCTCATTTCATGAAAACCAAATATGTTTCATTGAGTTTGGGTATGAGCAAGTTGACAAAAAAGCAAGTAGCTAGCAAATAAAAATTGGAAAGCATAATGCATAAAATGGCATCATTGGGCACTAACCCTTTGCCAATTGCCATTACACGCATAAAGATATTCATATCTTTCAGATTTTTACTAGGTTATGCCCATAGAACTTTCGAACCCAGCTTCTAGAATCTTTATTATGAAAACATATAATATATACCGTGGGGGATAAAGCTAAAGCAGGTACAAAAGATGGTGGGCAGCTTAATTATATCTTATACAGTTAAAAAAAAAATACAAGAAATCGTTCAAGATGCTCAACTATAATCGTGGAGCTTCTCCTTTAACTGATATTCATTATGCCTTGTGATTTTTACTTTTTGAAGTGACCCGGGGGGGGGAATATATATATATATATATATATATTTATATTATATACTGTCTACGGGAAGTAATTCCAAAATTTCCACATGTCTATCATCAAAAGAAACAAAAATTCCATCCCAGAAGAAACTCTTATGGAACAAACTACTAAGCAATTTAGCTGTAATCCTCGATAACTTGCAGGGAATTTTGAGAAAACAAGGGCAGAATTTTTTTTTTTTTAAAAGATGCCGACATATTTCCATTCACTGTAGGTCCATTAAAGAAATAGGTTCTCTAAAGAATTGGACAGCCCAGGCCATCGTTTTTTATATATTACAAGTAGATTTTAAGAGAGGCTATAAAAGTGGCCTTCTCATATATATATATATATATATGTATGTATGTATGTATGTATGTATGTATGTATGTATGTATGTAACTGCACCCACACTCTATTTCAACATATATATAACATTATCTAAATCTTGAAACATCTTGTTAATCCTTCTAGTTGGTATAAACTTGGTCTATACTTAAAAGTTCATGATTAATGTGAGGCCTTTATTGGTAAATAATTTGTACATAAAACTATAAATGCTTTTAAAGTCATGAAGATTTGCTTGAGCAGTAGCAAGTACAATGCTTAATGATAGTTTAGATTTTATAAATTTGCTAGTACTAAGTTTTAGTGTGGAATGAAAAAATCCAAGCTTTGAAAATTAATTTAAAGGCGTGCAGTGATTCATGTAATCTACTCTAAAAGTATTAGTTGAAGTACTCATACGATAAAATGAAAATAAACAAGGTAATTAAATTAGGGTGAAGTATAAAAGAGTATATGCCAAGAGGAATGGTTGATATAGGAAGCAGAAGGATCTGATGCTAAAGTTATATGAGTCATGTGATGTCCAAGTCAGCTATTCTATTCTCATCAACTCACCACCATTCACCCCTTAACTTCTAACTTATTGCTTTCAAATTCTCTCCTTTTTTATTTATTATATAAGGCATTGTGAGTGTGAGCAAAACACACAGACACACACCCCCAAGTCTCTAGACTCTTTTAACTGTCTTAAACTGTTTAGTTTTAACTTGTGAGAAGCATGGCGTCATTGAAGGCAGAGAAACCAGTGGAGAGCCAAACCCCAGGGCAGCCCAATAAGAAGGAGGGTTCTGCTGCTCCTAAGTCTGGTTCTGCTTCTAAGGCTCCTTCCTCCAAACTTGCCCCAAAGAAAGCTCCTCAGAAATCTCAGGAATCCAAGAAGAGGGTAAATATCTTCTCTCGGTTAAAAAAAAAAAAAATTGGAATTCTATTGAAAATAGTTTTTCCTGTATTCTCAATTATGAACAATCTTGTACGTGGTAACCAACAGATTTTAGTCCTAGTTGAAGAGACTATAGTTGCTTAAGCAAGAGGTTCCACCGAATTAGAGCATATGTAATGCCTTTAGACTCCATTTAGAATCAGACAATACTTGGATCTAATTCAACAGTACTAGATACCATATTAAAAAGATTCCCTTAAGAAAAAGAGCATTTAAAATTTACCTATATGAAACAATATACAAAAATATCAAACTAGACCAACTCCAAGTGTGGTTAGAATATTTGTTATGGTGGAAGGCCCAGCTTAGCCTGAAGTGATGGAATAATACTCGATTCACCTTACCAATCATATCTCTATGCACCTCACTACAAACACACTCCTATGGATGTTTGTTGTAGTGGAAAGGCCAACTTAGCATGAAGTCATGGAATATGACTAGATTCACCTGACCAACCATGCCTCTATACACTTCTTGTCAATATGTCCTAATAGCAGCGCCACTTTTCTCACTTGGGATAAGTCTTGGATTCAAACCAGCATTGATATGTTTGGATGTGTATTTCTCCCTTTCTTATGAAAAAGGGTTAGGTTGGGGGTGGGGGGTGTGTTTGTGTGTGTGTGTGTATCTCAGTTTGATAGTGCTGAAAGGTTTGGATTTTTTGATGGAGTTTTGTGATGTTATGTTTAGGGAAAGGGAAGCAAAGCAGCAGCAGCAGCAGCGAAGCACTAACCATATATATGTATGTATGTAGGTGTGGTGAATGATTGGAAAAATGAAGAAGTGCCACACTAACTAACAATAAGTATGCTTTTTATTTTCTGGTTGTACTTAAGGGCCAAGTGACCCTATGTCCTTTATGCATGTAAATGATCAGCTTTCTAAGCTTTGATCAAATCCAAAAATAATATTTTTCGTTTCACATAATTATTACCCAATTACTGAATCA